GTAGCTACATGAGAAAATTCAATCCCAAAAGAGGTAACATTTTAACCAAGAAAAATGGAGAATGATTTACAAAAACAAATTCTATTCTCTTCCCATTTCATTTTGGTTTACATACGTACTGTCTGGAGTCATATCACAGGATTGGAAATGAAATGTATGGAGAAGAAGAAAAGATGATCTGTAGTTTGAGTTATTTGGACAGGAATCTGCCTGTGCCTTATGTGTTTGTGCACACTTGACCTACTATGTTTTGTTTAAATTATTGTAGGTACTAAACAGACACGTGCCTGGAAACCAGAAGATGCTTCTAAGAGGTATGCAAACTACTTGGGCAACTGCATTCTCTTACCTGTCTCATTAATTCAACTTTTTAAAAAAAGAGTAATAAACTTATAATAACTTAGAGAAAATTATTAGGAGAGGGAAAGTGAAGTCTGAGAAGTGCTATAAATTCTCTCATTGCCAGTTCCAACCAAACCAGAAACTTTTAGGCTGCTGATGAAAGTATGAGTACCTGTGGAAAAATGTCTATGAGAATAAACATGTCCGAATTACCCTGTACTCCTTTTTGACCTTTTCAGGTACACTCTATTGTTATGCCACAGACTTACTGTACAAGTTTCTGTTCTCATCACTTCAAGAAGCCTTTTCTATTCTTTGTTTACATCAGATCCAGATTTTCATCAAAAAGTTGTCTTGTACTGATCTCTTGGTTCTAAAAAAGCAAGACATTATCACTTGTCTCAAAAGGTTTCAAGAATATGTGTAGTCTATGAAGAAGATTAAAATACACATCTAGAATATCTCATTTATGAAGACTCTCTTATATTGGCTTTAGTCTTAATCATTTATTTATTCATTCATTCAAAAATTATCTACTAAGTATAAGATATGCTAGACCTATATTAGGCCCTGAGGATATGATGTTGAACAGAATAGACATAGTTCCCATCTAGTGAAATAGAAACACCAGTTAAATTATCACAAGTAAATGTATAATTTCAAATTGTGGTAAGAGCTATAAAAGAAAAGACTATGGTGTTATGAGGAAGAACTAATGGGAGTGTATTTTAGCTGATGGCTAGTGAGGAGGTTGGCTGTAGGGGTTCAGGAAAAGTCTTCTCTGAAGAAGTAATAATTAAACTGAGACCTGATAGCTAAGGAAGCGTGAACCAGACAAAGACTAGTAAGGAATGACTTACAGCCAGAGGTGACAATATATGTGAAGACCCTGAGACAAGAAAGAGGTTGGCCAGTTCCAAGAAAGGAGACATGCATGGTTTGGTTTGTGGAAGCATTGTTTGCTTTCATGGGGCTTGGGCCTTCCTCAGCAACAGAGATTCTCTGAGGACCAGACAGGTGAACACAAACCTTTATGTGTTTTGGAGCCAGAAAATTCTCAAGGTTCCCCCCAGCCTAGTTCTCAAGGGCCTGGCTTTCAGTCACAATGTTGTGCCAATTTAACCTCATCTGGTACAGATCAAAAAATTCTTTTTTTTTTAATTTAGAGAATGCTTTATTAGTTTCTGTAATCAATGTAGATAAGACCTTACGTATTTAATACAGTGCGTGTTGTTTTGTTATGTGCCGTCAAGTCGGCCCTGACTCATAGCGACCCCTCCTTGGGTTTCCAAAGCAGTATTACTACGAAAGTAGATTGTCCCATCTTCCTTCCGAGGAGTGGCTGGTGGGTTTGAACTGCCAGCTTTTTGGTTAGCAGTCAAGTGCCTTAGGCACTACGCCACCAGAGCTCCCCATGGCTGAGTAATCATCCTTAAAAGTGAGAGATGTTAAGGCTGACAGTTGAAATGTGGAAACTATGAAGGTGCCTCATGAGAAGAAAGAGTGGATCCACTGGTTTTTATTTAGAATCAATCTAATTGTGTATGTAATTTGTATGTGAATCTTTTGAAAGGGATAAGGTTTTCACTTTGTGCTTCTCATCATTGGTCTTTGTTTAAAATATATATATATATATATATATATATATATATATATATATATATATATTATTGTTACTTGGGTGATGGTTTACAGAGCATATTCACTTTCCATACAGCAGTTCACTTACACTTCGTCTCAAGACATTGACTGCAATTTCCCACAATGCAGCAGCTCTTCCCACTTCTTTCCCATAACTACCTCTTTCCTGTGTCCTACCCTACCATGCACTCCTGCACCCCGAGCTCTCTTTCTGTACATACACAGCCCTTCTATTCTCCCATGATTGATCTCTCCAAGTAGTGTATCTACCTAATGTAAATGTTCAGCTCATATGCTTGCTTGTCTTTTGTTTGGTTGGAAGCCACAGGAGTGGGTTCAGTTCCAGATCTGAACGGCAGGTGGGGCCATAGTCTCAGGGATTTCATCAGGCTCTATCAGACCAGCAAACTGATCCTTTTTTTTTTCTTCTTTTAATGATTCTGAGTTTTGTTCCACTTTGTTCTCCCACTCTGTCCAGGGTCTCCTATAGATCCCCCTCTGAGTGGTTGACAGTGGTAGCTGGGTACCATCTATTTCTTCTGGTCTCATAGTTGAATAGGCTGAGGATCACATGGTATACCAGTTGCTTGGACTAATTGTTTCCATGTATCTTTGGTTTTCTGCATTCTTCTTTGCTCTGAATGAGGAGATACCCATCGTTGCATCTAGGTGGCCACTTGCAAGCTTTTAAGGTCCCAGTCACTACTTGCCAAAGTAGGATGTGGAACAATGTTTCTGTGTAATATGTTATGCAAATTGAGCTTGATGTCCCCTGCAACCATGGTCCCACTCCCACAGATCCAACTATTTGCTTCCTCTGGGTAGCTGGCTGTGGCATTTGGTACATTGCCCTTTTCTTCACCTAAATCAATACTAGTCTCTACCAATCTAACAGTGTTCCCTCCACTCCCCTCCCACCCCTGGTAACCAACAAAAAAAAATTTCCTTTCATATATAAACCTTTCCTTGACTTTTTATAATAACAGACTAATACAATATTTGTTCTTCTGTGATTGACTTATTTCACTTAGCATAATGTCCTTCAAGTTCATCCACGTTATGCAGTGTGGAAAAAGAAATTGTTTTGCAGAGTTAGAGAGAGAAAGAAAAGGAGGAGAAATGGCCAGATTGGTGTGCAGCATTCTGATCAAGGGAGGAAAGGTGAATAAACAGTTAGAGAGAGGCAAGACCCTGTTCAGACAGTACCTAGTAAGTGACTAATTTAGATTTTTGTTCAAAGTGCAAGTGAGCAAACGTTAAGTAACAAATGATGGAATTTAAGTTATAAACGTAGTTTTAATAAGTAAGAAATGTGTGGTCACTTGAGAATGGAGAAAGTAGGATGTGAGCTCTGTTTTGGAGAGTTTTTCCTTGTGGAACAACATGATTTTACTACCTTGACTTCAGGAAATATTGCAAGAGTAAATTTAATTAATGTTGATAATGATGATCATTTGCAACTCTACTCAACACTGATTTGACTACAAACCTAAGATTATAGTTCATTTTTGAGCAATATAGAGTAGCTGAAATGTATTTTGAGCAGATCACCCGGGATGGTTTTCTTAAAAATGAGCCAAGTAAACATATTACTTCAAGGAAAGCAAGTGACAGTATTTGTTGTTATTCATAAAGTTTGAGCTTTCAAATAACGCTTAGAATTTTAGAAAATTTATATTTATCACCATGTTTTTAATTCTTTTTTTTTTTAATTTAGAGAATGCTGTATTAGTTTCTGTAATCAATGTAGATAAGACCTTATGTATTTAATACAGTGCCTGTTACCCCCATACAAATAGAAAAAAATTAAGTTTACTGTTTCTAGACCAATGTGGCTGTTAATTTCTATACAATGCCAGCTCCACATAGTATAACTGGGATATTTTTCCAAAGTTGACAGCACAGCTAAAATTTCCCAAAATTCAAATTATATATAAACCAAACTCACTGCCATCAAGTCGATTCAGCTCATAGCAACCCCTCATTGGGTTTGCGAGGCAGTATCTCTACGGAAGTAGATTGCCCAGTCTTCCTTCTGAGGAGTGGCTGGTGGATTTGAACCTCCAGCCTTCTGGTTAGCATTCAAATATCTTAGGCATTACACCACCAGAGCTCTCTCAACTTGTATGTATGTACATATGTGTGAGTATATGTGTGTGTGTATGTATATATATGTATATGTAACTGTGTATTTACACTGACTGCAGTGTATTTTGCATCAATAGCAGCATCACCTTTTCCAGGTTCTGCAATCATCTCAGCAAAATTATAGAGACATCCAGCACACTCCGGTAAAAAAAAGTACGAAACAAACCTTCAAAAAACAGCAAAGTTCTGTTACTGTTGTGGTACCTTTTTTTTTAAAATTAGCTTTTCAATCATCATCTGGAAAGAAAACATTCTAGAATAATGTCATTAAAAAACTACTCTGATGTAGCATGGTCACTATTTGTTGTTGTTGTTGTTACGTACCATCAAGTCGGATCCAACTCATAGTGACCCCTCCTTGGGTTTCCGAGGCATTATCACTACAGAAGTAGATTGCCCCATCTTCCTTCCGAGGAGTGGCTGGTGGGTTTGAACCGCCAGCCTTCTGGTTAGCAGTCAAGTGCCTTAGGCACTATTACATATCATAAAGTAAGTACAAGATGGTTTGCATTCACAGAGGTATGATACAGTATAGTCCTACATTTATAATACTAGAGGATACAATTAAAAAGGCATTATTTGAGACTTGATTCTACTTTTCCAAGCAGAAGGCCCAAAAGATAAGTTTTTAATTCTTAAAAACTTTTCTAATAAGATCAGTGGTGATTTTGATGAGTATGCCCAAGGCATTTGACTGCTAACCAGAAGGCTGGCAGTTCAAACCCACCAGCCACTCCTTGGAAGAAAGGTTAGGCAGTCTACTTCCATAGTGATACTGCCTAGGAAACCCAAGGAGGGGTCACTATGAGTCGGGTCCGACTCAGTGGCACATAACAATAACAACAACATGATTGTTTTTTTTAATATGGAATAATGAAACGTGCCAGTATTTGGAAGATCTTCTTAACACTGTGAATCAGTATTTACCAAATATAAAATCATGCATTGGTATAAATTCCATTCCAAATGCAAGATAATGACCAGTTACCATTGAGTTGATTCCAGTCGATGATGATCTCGTGTGTCACAGTAGGCCTGTGCTCCAAAGGGTTTTCATTGGTTGATTTTTCAGAAATAGATTGCCAGACCTTCCTTCCAAGGTACTTCTTGGAAGGAAGCTGTCAAGAAGTTGGTTAGCAGCCAAGCACTAACCATTTGCACTACCCCAAGACTTCAAACCAATGGATTTTAGTATAACCGAATATTAAAAGTTCATTATTATGGTTTCAAATTCCACATTGGAGTTTATCTTTAAACTGTCACCAATCACTTTTTAATGTAGTATTGAAGAATATCCATAATTATCTGAAAAGGTTAGTAAAATACTTTCTTTCCCTTTGCATATCTGTGTGAGGCTAGATTTTCTTACCATAGTTCAAACAAACAATGTATTGCAACGGAGCAAATGCCGAGGTAGCAAAGAGACTCCAACTTAATTCTGTTGACCTAGAAGTTACAAAGTTTGCAAAAATATAAAACTATTTCACTCTTCTTTGTGAATTTTTTGTTTTGTAAA